TTTTAGAGTATATGGTCAGGGTTAGGATATAAAGTCTAAAAAACATGAATGGAAGTCAATGGAAGGTCCCCATGAGGTCGAGAAACAAACATGTGTGTGTGTGTGTGTGTGTTTCTAGTTTTACTTTTCTTAAGTCTACAGTCATGCAGCGATGAGAAAGAAAAGTGGACAATGTGGTGATAAAATGGAAATCCTGTGCTTATTTCAAGTCAAGTCAAGCTTTATTAAGGACACGTATCCTGGTTCATAAACAAAAGAAAAAAAGATTAAAAATAAAAATAACAAGTATATAAAAAATATGCAATATAAAAAAATACGACAGATTATTTACACATACTGTATAAACAGTTACGCCAATGTCTCCATACTTTTGATGTATACCTAACAGAGCTGTTTCTAGGCAGACCAGAGCTTGTAAAATACCATCCTGCTGATTCTGAACACATTAATGAGTAGAAACAGTGCCTAACAGCAGCTGCACAAGATAGACCACAGTTTGAGCAAGATTTAGAATTTTTTTAAAGAAATGCAATAAATACTAGAGTCTGGAAACAATGAAGTCTTTTCCTCATTTCATCGTATTCTAGACATGGAAAATACTAAATCTATTCTCAGAATTCAACACACTGGTAGAAACCACAGTGCGTCACACTCCGGACCACACGGTGGCGGTAAGGCGCTCTGTAGCTGAAAACGAGGAGAAGCCCGGTTCACTTCCGGGTTGAGCTTCCAGTTGGGGTCGGTTGTTTTGGAGGACAGTTTCATGGCCCTGGTAACTCGGCTGCTCCCTGCGGGAGCAGCTGCTCTCAGATCGGGAGGATTCTTTCAGAAGGTGAGCACCAGTYGGAACCGCGTTTGGGGACTCGACGAAACGCTTGTTTTGGTTTTGTGTTTGTTTTCCAAGGTCAAGYAAACGCTGCGCTAGCTTTAGCTGCTAACATCACACTGAGCCAAGGCTGGTTGTTTGTGATGCTGGTAGACGACAAACGTTATGGTGTATTTATTACTTTTTTTATAAGTTTGTCTCATGTTGAAAGTTATCAGAGTTGTTGCAGTTTGGGTCAAATCTTCAAAATAATGTAGCGACAGAATACAGGGTTGCCAGAGGRGAAATGTTGAATTATSGTATCAGCAGCTCAAAATTATCACACACACCTAAGTTACATTCTAGAGAGGCTCAAATTTATAAATACATCCTGCTCAGCTCACAATGTGCTCTGT